AAAAAAAAAACTTTTAACAGTTCAAATGACTAAAAAGGAACTCTGTTTTCTCTTTATACCTACCTTACTTATTTTTCTTTAACAGTGTTTATAATATTTCTCTTAAAATAACTAATTCATAAATTAAATGGTAAGGGGAAACCTACTGTAATAATTATTCTCACATGCTGTATTTTTTTAACCTTCTTCAGTCACCAAAGAGTATTTAGGAGATGACCTAATTAGAACCTTTATAAATAGAAGCAATGAATTGTACCTAGGAGTCCATTTTGGTCAAGAATTCTTATCCAAAAGAACAAGTGTTACTTATCCAAAAAATACATTAATTAAAATTAAATTACAACCCAATTAAAATACATCTGGGGCCATTTATGTTTTGAGGCTAAAATCTTCCTGCACAATTGGCTTAATGATTCAAAATTGCTCCGATTTGGGCTGCTTATTCTGACAAAGAAAATAACTACATCCAGTCTCGGCCTCGACATAAACGTTACCGAGGAATATTTGGTCTATTTCATAAATTGAAAGTAGACGAAGTATTGTCAACATCTTCCAGGCTCTCAGATAAGGTAGTACGCACGTCGTGGGGTTTCCTCTTGCTCATGGATAAAACTGAATACAACCTGCCTTAAAACAGGCGTCTTATGGGCAGACACCAGGGAATGATTCGAATGTCTTAGAAAGCAGATAACTACTACTCTAATGTAAAAAACTGATTTCTTATATCTATAAAACAGTTGTACCATGTTACCTTTTTCAGGGCAAGTAAGTTCTATGGATCAGCTTATTGTTCTCTTCGTCTTTTTTAAACAGCAATCATTACCTTTTTACTTTGAATTCTGTAAAATGTAACAGGAATAGAATTTTATAACTTATAGAACTGGACCTTATTCAAAGAACTCCTCTTTAAACCTATTTCTCTGCCTGATTTGTCAGTTATGTAACCTGATTCGTCTATCTTCATTAAAATCTCCAATGTGTCCCCACCTCACAAGCGGACCCTCACTGTCGACCCTTCTAACCCTATTCATTGACGCCCAATCAGTTCTCAAGACTTGTCCAATCATCAGCTCCACCAGGATTTATTGATGCCTTTGTTCCCTCATTAATCTACATACCTTTGCACAATCATGTCAGCATTGTCCCTTCTATCACAGTTCTGTAGTCTAAGCCCTCATTTTATCTCTCTGGCCTCAAATACTCTAAGAGTCTTTTACTTACCCTTCACATCCAAGTGCAAGCCCAAGATTCTCCAAGAAACCCTTTTTATCATCATAACCTCTGCTCTAAAATCCAGTGGTTCTCAAGACTTCTCCTGGGTGCAGTGAGGTCTTCTTATACCACTTTTTAACTTTTAGAATTTAAGTATTATCCCACAATTTCCCTCAAGTTAAAATCAAACTCTTTAGGTTTTTATAACTTTCTTTCGTCTCTCTTGTTGACCACAGCAAATAATAGGCTCTTAACAGATAAATAGCAAATGAACAAATACGTAATATTATTTTTAGCTCAATATCCTATTTTTTTTCTTTACATCCTTCCTTCTTTTTATTTCTTCGCATGCCTAAATGAAGAAACCATATGTTGTAGTAAGTTGTTAATTTTCTGCTTGCAATACACTATCGGAAGTAAATGTAATTTGACTGACACTTTCAGGAGTTTACACAAATGAATACGGTGGCAGAGAAATGCAAGACCTGGGAGGAGGGGAAAGAACAACAGGATTTGAAGTAACAGATGGAGTTAAAATGCCAGGAATGCCTGAGATATGTCAAGACTATTCTGGAACATTAAGAAGAAATTCTATGAGGGAATGTAGAGAAGGAGGTCTGAATATGAATTTCATGGAAAGTTATTTCTGTCAGGTAAGCTCCCTAACCACGCACCTTCCTCACCATCCATGTGTCTGTTGTTCAATTCCAGGATTTCCCTAATTCCCAAAGGTGCTTTGGCAGGAGCCTCCTAACTAGGTTCCTCAGCCTTTAGTCCTCACACCCAACAATCTGTATTATTGCTAAATCCCTACTTGAGCACAAGACTTTCCCACTTAAAAATGGCCAGTGGCTCCCAGCTCTGTCGTATCTGAAATCTTCAATATGGCAATAAGATTGTTCACGAAATGGCGCCTTCCCCCCCTCTCCAGTGAATCTTTGCATCAACTCCATATGCTGAGCTCCTTTGCCTTGGTCATAGTGGATTTTGTCACCTCCCTGTCTTTGCTTATGCCATAAACCTCCAGAAATGTGTTTCCCCACCACTTCTGTCACAAACTCCTACCCATCTTCCAAGACCAAGTTCAACTATCATAGACTCCCTAACATTTTTAGTTAACCATCTGGTCCAAAATAGGATTAATGCTTCCTCATCTTTATTTCTGCAGAGTACCTTGTACATTTTGTAGAAACTGTCATTGCTAGAATCTGCCAATGTATCACCATTTTGTAATGTGTCATCCCTATATTCTCTACATAATATTGTCAGTACCTAGCTAAGTTCCAGGCACATAGTAAACATTCAGTAAGAGTGGGTACAAGAGGCACAGTACACTTCCAGCATATCTAGGAACCAGCTGCGGATCATGAGAAACGTTTGACACCTGGAGAAGCAACTGAAGGAGAATTAACTCGGCCAAGCCCAGGCAGAGACACAATTGCCCATGGTTACACACCAGGTGATACTAAACCTTCAGGAAGTTCCTCTCTCTAATACTGACTGGATATAGACTGGATATATTCTGTCCTTCTAGATGCTGGCCTACAGTGCCTTCATTAACTCCCTCTAGGGTGGCTGATATTTTTAAATAAAATATTAGTGCAAGCCTTTCAAATAGCAATGGATAATAGTGAGGCTTATTGAAATACATAACAATACTTCCTAGTCACGTCCCTACACATGAATATTATCTTCATGAAAAGTAAATTCTGCCTCAAAATGTTTGTACTTACAGCTCCCTCTGCCCAGAATATTCTATGTACTGTACTCTGTCACTTCATTCCAATCTCTGATCACACACCCCTTCATCAGCAGTCCTTTCCTTGGCCACTTAGTCTAAAAGGGCAACCCCAGCGCTTTCTATGCCTGTTCCCACACTTACCACCTCCTGGCAGATATTTATGTATTGTCTGTCTCACCCTACAAAAACTTCATCCAGTATTATTATTGTGTAGTTCTAAACAGTGGCAAATAACAAGGACTTGATAAATATTATTTTTTAATGAATGACACAATGAATTGGTTTCCTAGAAAGGATTTCTGATACTTAACCTGAAAGCTTTCGGTCCTGTATTATGAAACAGCAAAGATGAAAGAAACGTGCACATGTCTACGGGATTTTAGGTTAGATTTAGAGAGGTTATATGTATAAAAATTGGCTTTGATCACTTTTAGTTTTTAATACAAAAGTGGTGCAAACCCAAAATTAAATTCTCCTGTTACCAGACTGAAAAAGCCACACTGCAATGAACTATCACAGAACCATCATATTCGGTCCATCTGCAAGAAAGAAAACACTGTTAAATGTATTCAAATAAACTATGGACTACCTTTTTTAGACAAAATAAGCAATAGACATTTTTGTGTATTTCAAGTTCAGCATTTTTTATGTGCCTTCTTCTAAACTTGGCTATAAACTAATCATGTGGTTGGTTTGTGATGTTTTGTCTAAGTGCACAATTCTGAACAAGTCTAAGCAAACTTTTAGTCTCCAAATTATTATTGGATTTATAGTTAAGTACTTTCTAATTAAATTCTTCCAAGAAATTATAAAATGATTTTTGAAGCATCTCTAGTGGATGTTAGAATGTTAGAATTTGTTTTGTACATATTCCTCTTTGGTAATGCTCTAGAAGGAAAACTAACGGTGTTAAAACTCTTCTACTACTGTGAAATATGTATTCATAATTTCATTTTCTCTTTCCTCTACCAATTCAGAAAGCATATGCTTATGCTGATGAAGACGAAGGACGCCCATCCAATGACTGTTTGCTCATATATGATATTGAAGGTGTAGGCTCCCCCGCTGGCTCCGTGGGTTGTTGTAGCTTCATTGGAGAAGACTTGGATGACAGCTTCTTGGATACACTAGGGCCAAAATTTAAGAAGTTGGCAGATATCAGCCTGGGAAAAGAAATTGAAGCATATCCAGACCCTGATCCTTCTTGGCCACCTCAGAACATTGAACCGGTTTGCCTCCCTCAGGACACAGAGCCCATTGCCAGTGGACACCCACCATTCTCCCCACATGTCAGCACAAAAGTAATTTCTGAGAGTGTCTATCCCTCAGGACCTGGTGTGCAGCATCCTAAGCCTATTCCTGATCCTCTGGGCTATGGTAATGTCACTGTGACCGAGTCTTACACTACCTCTGGCACCCTGAAGCCCGCTGTGCATGTTCATGATAACCGACATGCATCCAACGTAGTGGTGACAGAGAGAGTGCTTGGCCCCATCTCTGGTGCTGATTTGCATGGAATGTTAGAGATGCCCGACCTGAGAGATGGGTCCAATGTTATAGTGACAGAAAGGGTGATAGCACCAGGCTCAAGTCTGCCCACCTCTCTGACTATCCCTAATCCTACAGAGTCCTCAAATGTGGTAGTGACAGAAAGAGTCATCCAACCAGCATCTGGCATGATAGGCAGTCTCAGTATGCACCCTGAGTTAGCCAATGCCCACAATGTGATTGTGACAGAGAGGGTGGTTTCTGGTGCCGGCGTAACTGGCACAGCTGGGATAAGTGGAGGTGGTGGCATAGGTAGCTTTGGTGCTGGTGCTGGGGGCTTGAGTAGCAGCATGGGGGGCACAGCCACCATTGGCCACATGAGGAGCTCCTCTGACCATCACTTTACCCAGACCCTTGGAGCCGCCTCCCCCAGCACAGCTCGAAGTCGAATCACAAAGTACAGTACAGTGCAATACACCAAGTAGTCCAGGACCCAGCACACTCGCTCAGGATCACTGTGATCTAATTCCCACCACCCAAAAAACTAACCGTATGATTTGTGACACACAGCTCAGTCGGTGCTCAGATCATTGTGGAGCAAGGTGAGAACCCCAGTGAGAAAAATCAGTGGAAATATTCCTGGAGAGAAAGAGCTCTCCTTACAGCATTTGTAAACTTTCCCCTCATGTATCAGGACTAATGAAATCACGAAAGTGAACTAAAACTTGAGACAAGGTCTTCTTTGCATCTTCTTTGGGTGGCCAACCCTATATCTCCCACATGTGGAATAAACAGTACTCGGTCATGTAAAAGCACTGGCCTCAAGATGGCAATTGGCATAACTCTCCTTGCTTTGTTTTGATTTGCCACGTAGCCCAGGCAACCTTCAAAAAAAACAAAAAGCATCATGCAATGTGCTCATGTTTGTGGAGAAAATCTAAAATATGTGCCCTGTCGATTTCATAGACAGTGTAAATAAAAATCCCAAGACCAGGCTGAACCATTCATTAAAAAACAACCTGACTACTTAGGTCCACAAGCCACCACACACTCCTGCCTTCATAATTTCACTCCATAGAATAAACCTTAGATTAGGAAATGTTTCCTAGGAGAAAAATTCCATTAGAGTGGCAATAGGGTGAGATTTGTCTGGGATAAACTGATGTCCAAGCCTGAATCTCCAGATGGGGCCTCAGTTAAATGTCTTGTGGAGTTGAGGACTTTTCTGATCTAGTCTGTGCTTAGTGGTAGATGCAACTTGACAAATCCTGCCTACTGGGAAGGCTGAGGAGTAGCGCACTCTCTTCTCTCTTTATGGCTCCAGTTCTAGCAGAACAAAGGAAAATGGCCAAATTTACGCCTCAGCTGATGTCATGATGTCATCACCCGTAGTCAATTACTCTCCAAGTAAGCAGTTGAGAACTGTGTTGTGTTTTCAGATTTTTGTTTTTAGTATGTATTATTCATGCATATTCTGTTCTTTGTTACATAGTTCCTAAGTTTAAATGGTTTACTTAACCTGAGCTATGGCTGGGAAAAAGAGAGAAGCTGGCAGTCTGGATAAGCTTTGGGGAAATTTTTTAAGGGGACCTCAAAATGGTTTTAGAACATGTAAAATGTTTAGTGGAGAAGAGTTAGAAAAAATAATTTTATAAAGTAATATTGCACTAATTATTAGTTTTGAGTTTAGTACCATCTCTTAACAACCCCCCTGTTGCCATTTTGAAGACATCAGTCAGGATCCTTTAACAGAGTTGATGACATTGTGTTGAAAAGATTAAAATAGTACTGGACAAAATTAAGTCTATTCTACCCCCTCACTCAATTTTCTCCCTAGCATAAATTTTAAGTTCCTAACTTGTTTGACAACAAACTCTTGATTTATATATGCTCTGATTTATACATAGTTTCCAAATTATGTGGTATATTTTTCTAGCTTCAAAATGTAGTAATGTCCTATTTATGAGTTACCATATCTGTGTGTTTTCTATGTAGTTTTACCTGATTTAAAACCTCTAAAGAGAATCAAAGCATTCTAACAAAAAGGTAAATTTACTATTGCATGGTAGAGAAATTTTTTTCTCTTTTTAAAATACAATGTTACTATTTTGTTTTGTTTTGTTTTGTTTTCTGAGACAGTCTCACTTGGTCACCCTGGTGTTGAGTGCCATGGCATCATAGCTCACTACAATCTTGGGCTCAACTCTTGGGCTCAATTCTGGACTCAAGCAGTCCTCTATCTTAGCATCCCAAGTAGCTGGGACCATAGGCACCAACCACAGGCACCGACCACAACACCCAGGTATTTTTTTCTTTCTTTTTTTTGGTAGAGACAAGGGGTCTTTCTCTTGCTCAGGCTGGTTACTAAACTCCTGAGCTAAGGCAATCCACCTTCCTTGGCCTCCTGGAATGCTAGGATTACAGGCATGAGCCCTGGTGGCCATCCAATTCAATGGTACTGTAAATTCACTGAAGTGAAACAGGATGTGACATAATAAAACTAGAAAAAAGTTCTTTGCCCTGGAGTTGTGAATTATATACAACTTTTAAAGATTTTTCCTCCAATTACTCAATTTTCCCAGGGTGTTACAATATCAAAGAATAGTTACTCAACTTCCAACAATTGTCCAAGGGGGCTAGGAGTGAATTATTTACCTAGAGCTATTTTGCTCTATATAAAAGCAGATAAGGTTAATATTTTTTAAAGCCACAATATACATCTTATTTTAACTCTATAGAATATGTAAAATTGTGATAGTCTGTAGCATGCCAAAATGCAGAGGTGTAAATAAAGTCGTTCAAAGGGAGTCTTTAATTTCTTTCTGCCATTTAGGGGGCTACATTAAGGATGGGTAATCTTTCTAGAAATAAAGTCAAAGGTATTTCTTGAAACATACTTGAGTATGCCTGGGTCCAGGAGTTTGAAGGGATAGAAATATGAATTAATTAATTAGTTAAGTAGTAAATTAACTAAAGGTATCTAAGCACAGGAAGGGTACTTGTCATTTTGATAAGACAGCATCATAAATCATTTTGTAATAATACACCTTCCAGAGGTACTTTTTTTTTCTTTTTTTCCTTTTTTTGTGAGACAGAGTCTTACTCAGTTGCCCTTGGGGTAAACTGCCATGGTGTCATAGTCCACAGCAACCTCAAACTCCTGGACTCAAGTGATCCTCTTGCCTCAGCCTCTCAAGTAACTGGGACTACAGGTGTACACCAAAATGCCCAGCTAGTTTTTCTATTTTTAATAGAAATGAGGTCTTGCTCTTGCTCAGGTTGGTCTCAAACTCCTGAGCTAAGGCAACCCACCCACCTCGGCCTCCCAGAGTTCTAAGATTACGGGCGTGAGCCACTGCTCCTGGCCCAGAGTTATTTTTTAGGTTGTTTAACAACCTGCAGACTAACCATCTTTAATAATTGTTCTCATTAATGCCTTTTAGTTATATAAAACATGGAAGATACAATTTACAATTTTAAAAGTGGCAGTATTATTCATCTATCTTTCTAGGAAGATCCTTTCCAATCAATTTTTTTTCAGGACTGCACACTGATGTTCTAATTGTTTAGTCCTAAATTTTAAAATTATCTTTTTAAGACATTGACCATTCTGGCAGTTATTTAAAAGGGTGTTACTTTTCAACAAACAGCCTTTAGGCAAATTTCATTCTTTTCTTTAGATGCTTTGTTCTAACTCACGTGCATCATTTCATAGACAGAGAAGAGAGAGGGATACCATTTTATGAGTGACCATCTGTAATTCAGATCCAAGCTGGATCTCAGGTCAACCTACTCTTAGCAAAAGGGAGAAGGAAGAGATCATAATTTAATGTTTTCAAACTATACGTAGTTTGAAAATGAGCCATACTGTGTAAAACATAAAACCTCTGACTTTCTGAAGAGGTTATCCTTAAGGGGAAAAATTAGCGTATCATGAATACTTCAACATTTAGTACCAACCAAAATACCATCTTGACCTGATTTTGACATCGAATTCTAGATGTATCTGCTACGTATCATTTGCCTTTATGCATGTTGCCCGATCTAACTGTATTTTTGCACTGAAAAATTTCCAAAAAGCATTATCTATTTAGGGTTATTTATGTACCTTCATCTGGATATCTTTTCTACATTTGTATATAGTTTTTAGCATCATAATTTTTGTTCAAGGTAACATTCTTATAAAAGTTTGATTGTCTATCTTCAAAAATTACATTTTTTTTAACTCTCCTAAGTGGATATCTTTAATTGCCTATGTAATCTTCTGAATTCATGCCAAAATTTGATTGTTGGCCAGAGTATAACATATATGACACTTTTTTATTCTAGTAGGAGTTTAAGGGTGTTACAACCATTAGCAAAAATGGTCATAGCTGTTTTGAATAAAACCCCAAACAAACTTTTAAAAGTATTTGACACATTTTCCTATGCCTATTTTATAAATTCCACCCTTTTGGTGGATTTCTGGTATTTTTTCAGACCTACTTCACATTGTACTAGAAAACGCCAGTCCACAGTAGATGGCTAGTACCCCTGACATTGAACCAGGTTCAGATTATTCCATTTAAGTTAGGAGAAAGCTTAAGTAGGTCAACCTATTACCTATCGAACAATTTTGAAACAATAAATATATGTATTTAATTGTCTGCATTCCCCCCCTATTTAATTATATTTGAATTTCTTTATCATCAAACTGTACCTGGTCTAACTTATTTTTCATGAGCTGCCTATTTTCCAAGCATGTTTAACTCTAATCTTCATCTCTGGTGATGTTTAAAATGGTATTTTTCTTCAGGTTTTAACAAAGTGTTTGGATTATTTGGGTGCTAGTACCTGGCTTGGTTGTCTGTTGGCTTTTTATGTTGGTTTGTAATTTCCACAGAGTTACGTTTACAGCAATAAAATGATTAACATGCCTCCATTATCTTCTCTGAATTACAAGAGTGGGAGACGTGTTAGACTCTAAGGAACGGTTGGAAGTTATCAAATATAGTTATTATTTCCATCTCCTATTGGAAGGTGGATAATTATTTTATTTTCACAATGTTAAGATGTATTTCTATTTTTCATTTCCTAGCTTTATTTTTCTTCCTGTATAGTGAGGAACCTAGTCTATGGAGTATCAGGTGGTTAGCCTGCACACGTGCAAATTAACAGATGATAAAAACCTTCCACTTTACCCCTTTAGTTGATACTTTTACCATCTTTATGCTTTCATTTTTCTCTCTTTCATACATGGCTTTTAAAGTCTCATCTACACCAGCATTTTATTTCTTTTAGCATGGCTTTTCTTATTTGCTTTTAAAACCATCGCCTTTCATCTTTACTGGGGCACAGTAAAGATGTTCTTGTTCTTCAATGCCACCTCCAGACAATCATCATCTTTGTCTTGTACACAACCTTACCTCTTTCAGAATCATGTGATCCCTCCCCTTTTTACTCTTCTTAATAATGTCTCAATTTTTAATGAAGACTCTTATATACT